TTTGAATAAATGTTTTGGTATCTTAACAACTTAATATTGACTTTGTACTTATTTATTCTTCAATTCAATTTCATTACCCTGTTTTCATGTTAAATATCCCATTGATCAAATTAATAGTTTATTTGGTCACCATACAACTACAGTGGTGCCTCAATTCATGAACTAAATTTTGATCCATGATTCTGGAGGACATGGCCACATTTGTGTTTGTGTGGGAATGATGGCTATGGTCACATTTTTCATCTGATGCAGAGTTTGCAAACAGAAACAAATTTTTGCCAAATGCTTTGGTTTGAGAACCAAATTGGTCACAAAACAAAAGGGTACATGAACCAAGGCACCATTGCACTTTCTGTGTTCTCAAGATAGTGACTTCTTGACCTCACAAAGCAGCTAAACATCTGATCACTTTACAGTCACGTGCTCACACCAGGTATGAATATGTCCATGTGCCAGGAACCAGGGCAAAGGGAACTTATGATATATATTTTATCTTGACTTCCAACTCTCATGATATATTTCATTAAAAAGATGTTGTTAATCAGTGTCCTCATCTGAAAATGAGAAGCAATTTTGGGGGAGTGTCTGAAAAGAGTGTGTAAACATTAGAACCAGCTACCAGCCACTGAGAACAGAAACAGTCACATTTGACTCCTTTCCTCTAGCTTTTGCCATCAAAAAAAGCTCTAAAAAATCTGGTCCACATCATTTCTGGGATTTTCTCATATGTTCTTTTACCAGTAAATATGTTTCTTTCCTAGTTCTAATTTCCTTTCACCTTGACTATTAAAATAGGTCCTTCAATCCAGTTTAAATTCATACAATTTCCAGGTGCCACCAGCAACCTTGATTGGAAAAAAGTTTTCTGTCTTTTAAAAATCTTCTTTCTTTTCACTAGTATATATTTCCAATACATTGTGCCCTCACCCTGGGGAACTGGTCCACATGTGTAACCTAGCTTCATCATTTTCCTTCCCCTCCTGTGCAACCCTCCTCCTCCATTCAAAGAACCATTTGCAGGGCTTTTCCTCCTATGCTCGGAGAACCATTTAGTGCTGTGGTTTCTTGAAACCTCTACCCTAATTATTTTGGATATATCTCTTGGCAGGTTTTTCCCTTTGCTTCCATGACCATTTCTTCTACTACTACTCCTACTATGTAGTTCTCATAGTCCTAGACTCTAGACCTCAGAAAAGTCTGTAGTTCAAGACACCCAGGAGTTCTTGGATTAGCAGTATGAGTTAAAAGGTCATACAGTGAGCTCACCCTGGAGACATATTCTGTGAGAACAGAAGAGGGGCGGGAGGCAGCCCAGGAAGCGCCAACCCATGGAGAGGACTGGGCAGTAGAGCTCCTAGATGGCACTGAACAATAAAGTTTCCTGGGAAATATATACAAATTGTTACATTTTTAGTATGACACATTGTTTTACTCTTTTTTTATTTTAAAGAGAATAAAAAAAGAACATTAAAAATGATACAGAATTTCAAAACAAGATGATAGGAAATCAGCAATGGCTGTTATATTGCATATTATTATCAAAGTAGCTGTTCAGATTACCAGCTATAGGCATGCAAAATTGATCCAAAAAATAAGCATTAATTGTTCCTTTCAATAAACCAATAGGAACTGGTAGTACAATTATCTTAGCTATCCTGTGTATATATAAATCAGCATATGAGAAACAGAACTATTTGTTAGCATGTTGCAACTATATCCAAATGGAGCTTCATTGACTCAAATGGAGATAGCTATTTTTCACATTAATTAAGACAGCCCTAACCTAAAAGCAGATTTTAATTTGAAACTTTCATGTTAGTGACAGAGACTGTCAAAGTCATACCAAGTGGGAGGCCCAGTAAAGGTACCAGTACCTCACAGAAAATAGCCGCAAGCATGGTGGATTAAAAACAAAACTCCTCATCCAGCCATGGTGGCACATGCCTGAAATCTCAGCTAAAAATTTGTCTTTTTTTTGAGACAGGGTCTCGTTGTATAGTTCAGGCTAGCCTTAAACTCATTATGTAACTGAGGTTGAACTCAAACGCATGGTGATCCGCCTGCCTCACCTTGCAAGTGCTGGGATGACAGGCATGCCCCACCACACCTGGCTAAAAATGTGATATTTTTTACAGTGGGAACTATATATACTAACGAAGTGTCAAGCATCTACCAGGCCTGTTTAGAAATTTCTCAAATAAATGAATGAAGTCAAATTCTAGCCTGAGAAAAGGAAACCAGGCTTGCTTAAAGATAGATCTATATTTTATGTGAAGAGGAATCTAATGTTCAGATTATAGTTACTGAGTCCCTACTATGTGCTAAAGAGACACCTATTTGCTTACATTATTCTAATTTATCCCTTCAGCAAACAGTTGGCATATGCATCACAATCTACATTTTACAAGCTAATAGTGAGGGTTCTAGTTAAGTGTCTCATCCAATGTCACACAGCTAATAAATTATAAATCTGCAATTTGTTCTTAAATTGACTCCCATTTCTACTCTGTCCATGACATCATATAGCCAGGAACAAAAGTGGCTAATGTTGGAATGCCTTCAGACTAGTCTTTCAAGATGTCCTTAGAACTGTTTGAAGAGTTTCTAATGACTCATTAGATATAGCATGGTTTTCTTTAAGGGGAGAGAGTGGGTTTTGAGACAGGGTCTCTGTGTAGCTCAGGCTGGCCTTGAACTCATGATCCTCCTGCCTTAGCCCCCCAAATGCTAGGATTAACAGCTTTTGCCACTATATCCAGCTAACATGTTTTCCAATGTAACGAACTCATTTCTTTGTGTAAACATTACTAAAGGTAACTTCATTCTTGAGAAAACAATTTATGTATTAGAAGGAATTATACAAAATATGAATTGTACATAATAATTATTGAAGTACTAAAGTTAGGAAAACTAGGGTTTTTTTAAAAATTGGAAGCAAGTTCATGTGAGATAAACTTAGATTTGGAATGTTTGTTGTTGGTATAAAATCACATAGCTTAAATTATGACCAAAGAAAAAATGATTTCTTTAAGTTTCAACTTCAGTACACAGATATACATTTAAGACTGGCCCAGAGTCTTTTTCTAATTTACAATGATTTTGAGCTCATAATGCCTAAGCTAGTGCACAATATGTAGGAATTTTCTCAATACTTATAAATCTGTGGAAATAATTCCTTATAGTCAAACAGCAAAGCATTCCTCTGTGTGGTTTTGAAAGTATTATGAATTTTTTTTTAAGAGTAGGAAGAATTTATTGAGAGAAAGAAAGCTTCTGTCTAAGCGGGATAGAAGGAGGCCCAAAAAGTGGACAACCCCCAACCCCACTTCTCAAGGGTGTTTATTGAGCAAAGCCATGAGGTGAGGTGGGCTTAAGATGGGACAGAACTGTAATAAATCAATAAGATTACAAGTATAGTGACTTAGATAATACTGATCCAATGGCAAATCATAGGGTGGATGTGAGGTGGCACAAAACAATGGTCAACCAATACATATACAGCAAGTACAGTCACTAGGGTAATGTTGATTAAGCAGGGATCAAATAGGGAAACAAGTCATGCAGCAAGCATACAAGGACTTTTCTGGAAGAGGTGGGTTAAGGGGATTTGGTCCTCACCCCAAGGTGTCTGATACCCATTTAGAATATCAATCACTGCTGTGCATCCCTAGGGGAAGTATATGAATAGTACTTCTTTTCCTTGAAGTCTGGCTTTCAGTGCATGCACCTCTAGCCACGGTTGGCTTCTGCATTGACCTCTTCAGGGTCCAGACCTATCTGACTGCCTACAATATTTCTTTCTAACTTAGCTATCTGTAATATTCATCCCTCTGAGAATTTTTAAAATAGATGCTTGATCTGCCTTATGGAATATATGGGAGAGACTAATTGGAAACAAAGAATAGCTACATTAAACAATGACTAGGGGGCTGGGGATTTAGCTCAGCGGCAAAGCGCCTGCCTGGCAAGCGCAAGGTCGTGAGTTTGGTTCCCGGTACCGGAGAAAAACCAAAAAAAAAAAAAAAACAATGACTTTACTCCCAAAGCATACAAACTTCATTCAACATGCCACTCCCAGTACTAAACTATGTGACTATTTTCATGCCAGCATTGTGTAGAATCACCAATGGGAAAGCAATGTTGAGGTATAGAATGAATTATTTAACTGAACTCCCTAAAAAAATACCACAGAGATTGTTTATTCTTAAGATTGCACTTTAAATTGGGGATGGGGTTGCGACTTTTTTAAAAAGAAAACAAAATGAATTGATCCATTGGGTCCTCACTGGCCAAAGTAGATGATAAACCACGTTGGTAAAGCCAGCATACAGGTTAAGCGGTTTCACACACCAAGGCTTCTAAGCAATATAAATACACAAATATGGATATTTCTAATGTTGAGCAAATGGCCTAACACTTCAAATCAGTTTTATTAAGAACAAAATCTTAAATCATCTCAGTGGACCTCGTATTAACCAAGTCTGACATACATTTGAGGCCCCATCCACTTGCCTAGGTATTTTGAGAGAAACACAGCTGTCATGAGTGGTACCTAGCTTTCTCCGTGAGTGTCAGCACATGCCACAACTCTAGGTTCTGAGTCTTCTCCAGAGATTATTTGCAAAGACCAGCAAGCCCAGAAATGGCAAGTTTTTGTCATTTTGCAGTTATTCTAAGTTTGGTAGCACCAGATGGCTCTGTGGTAGAGCACATGCTGAGCATGTGTGGTACCCTGACTCCATCCTTAGCACCCAGGAATACACATGCACATAGAGAGAGAGAGAGGAGATGGGGAAACTGATTTCAGCACCTTTACTTGGTAAGCTCCAGAACTGTGGACTTGGTGTCCTGTGTAGAGATTACAAAGACTCGGTCAAGGGATATGGTATGATAGAATTGAAACATTTAATAAAAGTGTACAATGTCTTATTTGTACAGGTATCAAATGAAGACTTGTTAGAATTAATATGCATTGTTGAAACTTGCATTTGTTTTTTCAGATCCAAGAAGTTAGTAGAAATAATGAGCAATTAAATAACTATGAAGAGGATAGAATCTCACTTTCTGCATACTCTCCCAGTAAGTCTCTTTACATGTTGTGTGTGTGTGTGTGTGCCCAAGTGTGTATGCATATGTGTGTAACTTTTATATTATGGTTTATGTACTGGAAAAGTATAACTGAAGAGGATGTGAAAAGCTATTCATTGAGTGAAATTTAACTTATAATACAGTGGAGGTGCTACTGTATTGTCTGATTTACATACTTTAATAAGTTCACAGTCTAATTAAACACTGATTTCCAGTGGCATCACCACAAATGCACAACGTGCCAGCACCCACCATCCACCCAACCTAGTGCATCAGGGACCAGGTTAGTTACTTTTCTCTTGTTGCTGGGACAAAATACCCAATGCTCAAAGTTAAAGAGGGAAAGGTTTATTTAGTTCACATTTTGTAGAGGTTTCAGTCTATAACCAGCTAGCTCCAAAGCATGGTGGCATGACAGAGGGACATAGTTCATAGCAGTGGAGGACGGCAAAAGCAACAAGAGCAAAAAAAAAGGGGGAGGGGGTATAACAAGCCTCCTTTCCTCCCTTATATTTTAAGCAGGATACCACCCGTAGGGCAGGTATAGTTCTCACACCATCTCCCTGAACTCCTCTTGCACAGGCTCAAAATGTTTACAACATGAGGGTTATACCCCCTACACTGAGTCAAGTTGACACAATGAATCAACCATCACAACATCCTAGAGCATAAATAGTTGTCCTAGGGCATGCCCTCTGCACCCTAGGATATAGACCTGCTGAGTCACTTAATCAAGCTTCCAAAATTCTCAAGTTGACACAATGTATCAACCATTACCACGGGTTTCTATGTTTAATGAGAATTTCAGAGACTTTGTTGCTCAACCTGAAGAAACACTGAATACAAAAGTGTACCTATGAGTAATTTCAACTCATATACTCAAGTGTGCCTATGAGTAATGTACAACTGTCACTCCAAGGTGATCCCCCACTTGCCCAGCCTGAGCAGTAATCTCTTCCCAGTCTCTACCAGCTGCCCATTGCATTTTAGGGACTCCTCCTAACAGGCCTGGTGTTTTGAGGTTAGAAGGAGCAGGAGAAATGAGGCTGGTGTAGATAGATCATTCAGACAGGAGGCTATCCGCTCTGCCCAGGCTGGTAATTAAGGACCTGGTTGTTTTAGTCCTGGAAACTGTAGCTTTCTTCTCACATGAAAGAAATGAGAAAAAAAAAAAAAAAAGAAAATTCTAGGTAGCAACCTGGAGACCATGCTGGGTGTGATTTCTCTAAATTATTAATTTTTCTCCTATTACTGAAAAATTTCTACTTATAACCCTTGACTTTTTTTAAAAAAAGGTAAGTTTTCTCTACACTCCACCACTTGACTTTTTAAGAATATTTTAGTTTAGCAACATCATAAAACAAATATTTGCCTTGAAAATAACAATTTACATAGTTCAAAATCTGCTGCACAGGTTCCACTGTCTATGTGGAAGTTCTAAAAGTCTGTCAATTGTTGGGAATCCTTTATCTAGAGGGGTTTTTTTAACAAAAGAAATTGAATAATTTTTTTAAGATTTAAAGTTATTCCATTCTAGTATTTTTTGCACTGTTCTGCCTGAATGCTTAAAGCACATTTACTGTGTATAAAACCCAATGACATGATTCCAAAGGTAGAGGCTGCTAACTGCATGGTTGGGGGAAAGTTCAAGGTGGAATGCCCATGAGATGACAGTCTCCTTCCGCACAGTCTCAGAGAGTCCAGCCTTGCACCTGCACCGGGGAAGCAGGAGGATGCCCAGTCAAAGTGAGGACATCACAGAGGCCACCATGGGGGCAGAGGAGGGACAGGATCCTGGGCCAGGTGAAGAGGAACCACTCAGCCCTACAGAGGGGGCTGGCAAGAGCTTGGAGGACCCCTATGACGACCTGTACATGTTCATCCCCGGGAGTGAGCCGGAGCCTGATGAAGAGTCACCCACCTGCTGCAGACCTCCGCTGCCCCCACCGCGCCCCGCCTGTGCTGTACTCCAGCCCGAGCAACCTCGCTCCCCCTCACAGGGTAAGTTGGGAACAAACAGAAAATGAACACCTATTGTCAGGCTCACTGGAGAGCAGAGGTGAAGGTACATGCCCAAGATCAGCCTTCAAAACCCTGGCAACCTCCCTCCTGCTCCTCAGCAAGCTGGGCCTCCTCAGCACACAAGGCCTGCTCAGCTGTCCTCCTCCTCCCTTCTCTCCCATTGAAATCACTCTCTCCGGTGCCCACCACCTACCTGTGATGCCAAGTGTCCTGTTATGCTGCCTCCTGAAAACCACCAGATAGGAAGGGCAAAATAAGCCAAGCGCCACTGCTTTTACTTAAAACCCTTACTTTTACATTCTATGTATGGCACTGCTTTTCAACTCACCTTTTCATAGGGCTGATACGGGAAGTAAGTAGAACATGGTAGAATGCTAATCTTTTCTTTAAGATTCTGAAAGCTTTTTTAAGTAAGGCAATAAGTTGCCACTTACTTTTGCCAGAGATTGCATGGGTTCTTTCACTTTAGTTGGTCTTAACTTCAGGAATCACTCTTTAGGAGTAAACCCCATCTGCCCTGGAGTTAGTGAAAGGAGGGAGATGATCTTATTAGTGCCTGGAACATCAAATTCCTCAGGATGGGTTTCCAGACATAGTCATTGGAGAAACTGTGTGTAATAACACACTTTACAGTTTGTAAAGAGCATAGTATCTCTTTTTATCTTGCAACAACTCAACTTTGACTTAGACCCAAGACCACATAGCATGTCACTGGAATGTGTGCAATTCTTCTCTAAAGAGGTTTCCTGGACTTCCAGGATTCTCCTCTCTTCTATAGACTCTTATTCTGGTTATTTCCAAAGCTGGAGTTGTAGAAATGATTTGCTTTCACTATTATTTACACATATTAGTATACAACAAGTATACTAGTATACAACAAGTATATTAGTATACAACAACATTAAAGAATATTCTTCTTTAATGAAGAATATAGTCTAATACTTTGGGGGGAATACATGAAATGGATATTTTTAGTGCATGCCCAACTTTAGAAAGAATCGAGAAGGATGATGGGTGAGGAAACAAGGAGAGATAACATTTCAGGAAATCAGTTCATAAAAATAAGGTGCGGTGTGCTAAAAATGAAGTGCTGTGCAAGTATTTCCCGCACACTACCAGGTTTAACCTGGGATGCTGTCAGTGAAGTAAAAGCCGCAGTCGACACCTCAGACCATGCTACTCAAGGACAAGAGGCAAGTCACAGGGATTCTACAGTTAGTACAGGGCACACCGATGAGGAATCTCCCTCAGGTCAAGTAAGCTGCAACAATCAGACAACAGACTGTTAGGGACTATCTTTGTATCTCCTTACAAGGCAGCCTGGGGCAACTGCTAAATTTTGTATAATACTTTATTAACCTGCCCTACTATTTATCTTTCCTTTTAGCTTCTAAATTTTTTCCACTAAAATCCCCACATGGAAACTAAATAATTTGCTTTTGATCAGATTCTCATTCTCTAAATGAAAGCAAACCAAAAAAGAGGAGAACAGCCAACAACAACAGAGAGCCATCTTGGTGGCCAAGCAGAGAGCCATCAAATTCTTTTCAACCTGCTCATTAACTGAAGTGTTTCAAACCTTTGTCTTCTACATAACTGCTACTAAAATATACTAACATATTCTTATACATTTTGTAAGAATTTTACTGAAACCTATTTTGTTCTTTTCATGTAAATTAAACACCAAGCCATCTCTCTTTTCCTCCTCAATGTCTGTGAATGAGGTCTACACTGGCCTTGGAAGAATCGAATTGTTTCTGAAGCTCAGTTTGTCACAGGCAGAAACTGACTGCAAGGAAACTAAGTAGTAGTATCTTTGGCTATTCCCTGCCCCAGCATTTTCAGAGAAATTGAATTTTAGGCAGAATATCCACTGCAAGAAATACAGAAGGGGGCTGGGGATTTAGCTCAGCAGCAAAAGCGCCTGCCTGGCAAGCGCAAGGTCGTGAGTTCGGTTCCCGGTACCGGAGAAAAAAAAAAAAAAAAAAAAAGAAATACAGAAGGTAAAATGACTGAGTGAAAATACCTAAGAATACTGTGTTTTAAAAATACCCATTTTCAAGCCATTTGGAGTTTGAGACTTAGATTTGTGCCTCAATTTCCTCCTATTAAATATATGTATAAATATAAAATATGGAAAATACATATGTTTTCAGAGAAATCCATGTCTTAAACAAAGGGTTTTTTCTTTTAAAAACTATAGAAAGTCATGTGAGTAAATTATGCAGCTTACTTTTCTTTGGGGTTTGTCAGATAATAGAGATTATTTTTCTGGAGACTGGGACCTCCAATATGCTTCCTATGGCATTTGATTAAGCTACTTTGGAGTGTTCAAGTGATAGATGAGACCAACAGTATGGCAAACCATAGGATAAACACAATCTAAACATTTCACACACAGGGAGACCCGGGAAAGGCCAAGGGGAAAGAAATCCCAGCTGGAGTGACTGTAGGACAAGACAGGATGCAAGAGAGGAACTCAAAGGAGGAGAAGATAAAAAAGCAGATGAAAAGGAGCAGGAGCAGGAGGAAGAGGACCCGTACACATTTGCCGAGATTGAGGACAGTGACTACGACATGATACTGACCAAGATGAGTGTAAAGAGAAAACCTGGCAGCCGGTCTTTCATTATAAACAGACCTCCTGCCCCCACGCCAAGACCCACCAACATCCTTCCCAAAGAGGAAACCGTGCCTTACATTGCTCAAGGTAATTGTTTTGTTTGCCGGTTCATCCTTTGTCCTACTGGGTATGGGAGGTGAAGGTTGGGTATCTTATTTGTTTGGGTTTGGTTTGGTTGTTGGTGTTTTGTGGGGATCCTTCTGTAGGGGTGACGAGGGCATAAGATAGTGTGGTGTGTATTCCAAAGCTACAAAGATTGAAAGGATATTTTCAAGTCACAGATGAGTTATAATGGCTCATTTTTTAAAATTTAGAAGCACAATGAAAAAAGTATAAAAATTATGGGTTGGGTTCTGTCTTTTAATTCCTCAATAAAAAAGGATAACACTGACAAACCCTCTAAAGAATGTGAACCCTTCATATACACAGATAACTTTCATAAACCTACAAGAGGGAAGCTGACCTCCTACAGACAGTGTATCGCAAAGACCATTTAAGTGTGCACCACAAATCCACCTAAGAGACCCACAGTCACTCATCCATGCTTACTATTTTTTTAGGAAAAAAATGTTTTTGAAGCAAAATATGCTGAGACATGTTTATAAGAAACTATATACAAAGTTACTTACCAATATATGAAATATTTATTGAATAGTGACTGACGGCTGATAGTGGTGAAGAAACTGTAACAAATTAGGAACTGTAAAAAGTTAATAAATATTTCAGCAAAAACAGAATGTGAGCTGGAACAATTACCTAGATTATGAAGCTTTAAATAGAAACCTTTGGTCTCTAGCACAGCAGTCTCCAGGATATTACTATCTCATTGGCAAAATTGCTAAATGCCAATAAACATTTTGGAAAGGAGAAAAAATAGGTGTTACTGGACATAACCACTCAGTTATAGCCTAGAGACCTCTGAAGAGGCTCATGATCTCCCATGCTATGGTTGTTGGGGAGGTGCCTGGGGTCCACAGCATATGGCTTACTGGGTCACTTCCCATCTTGCCACTGACCATCACATTCTTGTTCTCCAAGATCTCTTTCTTGTTCTCTGCTCTTTTTCACAGCATCTTTTCTCTTCTTAGTGTCTTTTCTCTTCCCTGCACGGGTGTGGGGGCAGGAGGTCTGTTCTCTGATTCAATACATTTGTTATTGTTTTTCTTTATTTTGTTTTGGGTTTTTAAATTTCTTTTTGGGGGGGCTGGGGATTTAGCTCAGCGGCAAAAACGCCTGCCTGGCAAGTGCAAGGTCATGAGTTCGGTTCCTGGCACCGGAGAAAAACCAAAAAAAAAAAAAAAAAATTTCTTTTTTTTTTTATTTCTTTTGTTTACATTTTTATTTTTCTTCTATGCTCCTATTGTCTCCATTGTGATTATTTGTTGTTTATTCTACAACAAACACCACTTCTGTCCAATATGGTTGTCCTTGGTCACGCTTTCTTGCTTAAGACAGAAGCTCCAGGATCCTGAATAGAAATGCCACCTGTTAGAATGTGGGCTTGTTGCAAGGTGACAGGAAGGTGATCAACTCTTCAACTGAGTGATAGCTTAGATAGCTGTGTTCTCCAAAGCTTTTCATTGTTTCAGAATATAATCCTGCTAACTCTGGTCTTCACTTTCATGCCAGCATGCTAAGATTAGAGTGTGGGATGAAGACTGGCATGTTTCTGCATTTAAGGAACAACTGAACTTTTTCCCACTACTTCCAGTCCAGTGTATAACTTCAGCCTTTTGTCCCATTTCCCCCAACTTTTGTTCAGTTTCCATAACGAATAACTTCCAATCTCATTTCACAGGGTTGTAGAAGGAATTTGGGACTATGGCTGCTTTAGACTTTTAGCCAATCCCCATGTTAAGTAAGTAGATCTGAATTATTTTTCCCCCATGCCTATTTATTTATTAATTATACAGCATAAAGATTTATTGAGTACCAATAATAAAGTCTTTCTGTGTATTAATTACATAAATTCTCTATATTGCAATGGTACAAGTTGTCCTATATGTATATGCATGCATCAGAAATTTAAAGACTTAAAAATCTTTTGTTTCTATTTAAAATTTTAAATGTATCCAGGTGTGTAGTGTGGGCCTTCTGTCTAGCACTTGGGAGATGGAGGCAGGAGGCTCATGAGTTCAAAGCCAGCTTGGGCCACACACTTGTCTGAAAAAGACAAAAACTAAAAACATTATAAAATAAGAAAAACAAGAAATTTTAAATGTTACGTTTCTCGCCCACCCATTCTAAGCCTGGCACCCTTCAATATTTATAGGACAGTTTTCTCATTTTGTTAGGCAGTTACTTGGTTTTGATGGTACTTGCTTTGCTTACAGGTGGGAGCCAGTGTTGTTTTGTTTGCTTTTGCAATTAAGTATGTTAGAAAGGTATAGCATTTTCCTCAATTCCCAAATCTATAGCGAAAGCCAGACTATAAATGAAGTCACTGAAACCTTCATCTGTTTTTTTCTTCCTTTCCTCTTTTCCTGGAATGGACTTCCTGCCTCTGTCTTTTATGGTACTGACTGCTGTGCCACACTAGAAAGAGATGGTCCCATCAGCTCATTCTTTCTTGATGTTTTTTGCATGTCATGCAATAAAAGTCTTCACCATATCTTTCCCCCCACCCACCCAACCCAAGGAGCCCAATTAAAGAGAATTACCACCATTCCCCAGAGAGGCACCATTTAAGAGAACACTCATTTGCCCTGATTTTTACCAGAGCACAAAAGCAGTAGCAGAATTTGGCACATCTGTGGTGTAACAAAGCCAAAGGAGCAAGATGTGGAGTAGGTGATGGGAGAAGATTGCAGGATGCAGAATCCCAATTTCCCACTGCAGGAAGCTGAGAAAGTATTGCCAAAATCCTAGCAGATGGAGAGCCAGAGATGGAGATGGAGAGCCAGAGATGGAGAGGGAGAGGGAGAGGGAGAGGGAAAGGGAGAGGGAGAGGGAGAGGGAGAGGGGGAGGGGGGAAGAAGATAGGGAGGGGGAGGAGGAGAGGGGAGAGGGAGAGGGAGAGGGGGAGACGGAGACCATGTTGGCTGTGCAGAAAGACTCTGCTGATATTACTTGAGCATATTACTTCATACAGCACAGACTTGATTTCTGCATAGAAAGTTGGGGATTCTCCTTGTCTATGAAGAGATAAAACTAGCTAATACCCAATACAGTGCCTGCCATGTAGTGTATGTTCAACACATGGAAATTTAAAGCAATTCTGCTTTGTTTTTCTCAGTTTCTGGTCAAAGGATAACTTTGATAAACTAACTGATATAGATAACATATCTCTGTGTTTCTTGGATTCTGGTGGAGTTAGAAAATAAGGAAAATGGATAATGGAGCTGGGGTGGCTGAGGGAAAGAGGACCCTGTCCTCTTCTCTGACAGGTCAAGCTGGCTTCATCAACTCATAATAACAGCTAGCAGGCAGTGTTTATGATGATTTTTAATTCATACAGCAGTCATCCATGGTTGGCACACATAGCCCTTCCTGGAGAAAAGAGAACAGATGCTCCATAAGTTTCAGTGTCTTCCCAAATAAAAAAAACTAAGAAGGGGGAGAGGTGAGCTCCATCTGTTTCCCATGCCTGTGCTTATCCCATCACAAATTTCTGTCTCATAAATTTATTTTTGCACTATTCATATTTACTTCCTCCTTTTAACTCGTAAGATCCATGAAGGAAGAGACCAACTTCATCTGGTTTTGCCATCACTCCATCCTGGTGGCCAAGCTTAGTGCTGAATGCAAGGTAAAGCTATGAATAGTAATGGGATGAATAAATGATAAAAAGTGACAAGATCTGCCTCAGAATGGCTAGCATAAGAGACTTCATTAACATGGGTGATATGAAGCATACATCAGTCTATTAACTCCTAAATTTCTGCTAAAAAACCCCAATGTTCCAAACATTGTTAACTTGAAGGGATGATCCCACAACAAATGGAACAAAACTCATGGTCACCTATAGCTAAGCTTTCTAACTGCAGCCAGAAGGTGCAGTGTGTGAGAGCGAGGCTGTTCTGTCACCACCATCCTTTCATCAGATAGGTCTCTGATTTTTTTTAATCCCACTGTTACATAATCTTACATTAACAACCACAAAGAAAACCAGTTTCTCTTTCAAAGTTTTGGAAGTCTGGCTGTTTTCAGTTATCATATTTTCTCCATATTATATGGAAAAAGATTCTGGTCATTAAAAGTTGAGAGTATAGATGAATTAACATGGATTTACAGTCTTCTTTAGTGACACAATTCTTGATGTAAGACAAATCAAGGAAAGAAAATGCATATTTGGTATGGCATAGATAGACTGGCAGTAAAACTATACCTGTAAATCACACAGAGAGACAAACACCTAATAGGAGAAATTTTTCAATATCAATGGACAGTTTTCCATCTATCCTTCTTCAGTTAATTGAATAAAAATCCTCTGCAGTGTCTGTGTGACTGATCTGGGGTAAAATAAAATTTCCTTTTCAAATTTCAATTGCTGTCAAGTTTCCCTTGGCATTTTGCAGTACAAAGTTGTATATGACCTTTCTGAGAGCTTCTCAACTACTGGGACCCCAAAATGTCAAGTACACCTCAGTTGCTCTCAGAAAATTTACAATTCACCGGTACTTGAAACTGATCACATACAATACAACTGCAATGCAAAATTTAAAAAAAATAAAATAAAATGAAAGACCTTGTAGAAACTCTTGGGAAAATTAATCCACATCATTGTAAATGTGACAGAGCAGAGTGGTCCCTGTCCTCATCAGGAAAGAAATACAGCCAAGTACATTAAAGTAGGTCTTAGACCAAGGGCCTTGGGTGCCACTCCACTGAGTGTCCTTGCCCCAACCATGTGGCTGGACATAATGTCTGTGTCACAGGTGCTCTGGGAACAGAGTGACATATTTACCATTCTGTCCCTGAGCCTCCTGTGCCTGAAGCTGCCTGGGACACTCAAACATTCTCCTTCTATGCTGGAGTACTGGTCCCACTCTGCAAAGGACCTCCTGACCTTTGATGACCCTGTTCTTCAGGGGGACCAAGCTGCTGTGGTGTCACTCCAGTGAATAGCACTGCCCTTGCTGTCATCA